TACATATATTTTAACAGTGTTTAAAATGAAATATCATATAATGAATGTAAACAAGATGTGTGATTGTTTATTATTTTAGTTGCTGTATTTTACTTATTTATTTTAATTTAATTCTATATTCATATTTTAATTACTAATTCTGCACTCAACATATTTGAAACGTTTTATTTAATTAATAAACGCATACCTGAACTTAGGATATCTAAACTTACACGAATTTTCCTTAACGACGGACGCATGAGTTCGTCTTTCAAATTGGAAATATATGTTCGATACGGTCGGCGAGAATACATATATTTGCGAGTCAACTTTAAAAAGGATCTTGATCGATCAATGTTAGATTCCGTTTTCGGGTGATCGATATAACCGTTAGCGATACTAAGGCGCGCATACCACGACGGATGCGCATACATTGTGCACCCGCGACGTTCTTTTCTCGCTACCTCGAAAGGCATTATCGACAAACAGCTTGCATCGCGATGACGTCGATCTCGCCTCGAACACGTGTGCACGTGCATAGCGACGAGAAGTGCAATGTGCATAAAGATATCGAACGTTTGTCGTTACGTTCTGGGCATGATTGATCCGCTTCTCGATTTCGAATATTCCAGTCAATAATACATAAAGCGCTTTTTGGAGTATACTGCGAGTATCGGTAACGAGTATCTTCGATAAGTACTTTCAATGAATCGTATGTAATCGTAATATAATGGAGTTTGCGAAAGTTCGATAACGATGGAACGTATGTGCAGATTTGTTTCACTTGATTTGTTCGCAAATTTAGGTACATTTTGTTTTGACCCATGGAGATCTAAAGAGCAATTCTTAACTTGTTAAATCAAATAAACTGAATGTCCGTGTATTTTGCATCCATTAATTCTGATATGATTTTGACACAAATCTTTGTTATATATTTGAAATAGTACTCTCTCTCTCTCTCTCTCTCTCTCTCTCTCTCTCTCTCTCACTAGTGCGAGCATGGTTGGTATTTGATACAACGAACGAGGGGAGAGATGTGAATCCACTGAAACAAATTATATGAGATGCTTTTATAAGCGCATTTTTGCTTTCTATTTCTTCGCTCAGCTGATTAAGGTACAATCATCATCAGTTAAAGGATATTATACATCTAGATAATATTTATATGTACGAATGTAACGATCATCAAAATGTAACACATTCAAGAATATTGAAGATTGCGTGTGACGGAAGGAAGCATACTTTCGATAATCGTTTTTTTTTTTTTTGGATTCTTGATGTTGTCAATTATTTATATTATTTATTTTAATTAGCAGATTGATAAAGTACAATATTACATATATGTATAAAAACGAATGTGTGATTGTATGTGTTGGATTTACATCCTTTTATCTCTGCCAAATTTCTACACGGAAAAGGAATATAAACTGGGTGATACAGCAAATCTGTACTGCGCGAATTCAACATCTATAACTAAAACAAGACTTGATGGTTTAACAAATCGCTAATCGTTATTCAGCCGTCAACTTTGCTACTTTAACATAGAAAATTGACTGTTTGTGTATGTTACGAGCGTAGATTTGCTGAATCAGTTTTCAGCTGTTTTTTTTTTTCCCCGTATCAAATATTATCATCTTATGGCGACAGTACGACTAAAAAACTATTAATCTTCCATTCCTTCAGGAACAATCCGCCTTATCATGCATATATGAGTCATCACAAAATCTCCCTTCAAATTATCCAACCTATCATAGAAAAGGGTAATGATACCTAATTCCGAGGTTAAAATTATTCCGGTCGTTCCGGCGCCCATTGGAAGAGTTCAATGACGTCGTCGAGAACTCGAGTACACACGGTTCGCGAATACACGTGTATACGCCGTGGTTAAAGCGTGACGCTGAGAGGATAGTCGTGGGATAGATGTCTATCGTGAGGTGCAGGTCTGACACGGCGCAATTGACGAAAGTTGCGATCGTACGTTCGCGCGGTCGTAAGTAATGGTACCGACTAATTGCCAAGGTAGCGGGAGCTTCTTCCCTTCATCAGGCGACAAGTGCTCCGGGGTTCAATGACGTCGCTCAGACGGGGAGCTCGAGAGCACCCGGTATGCATGCACATCGCGGCGAACGCGGGGAGCGTGTGTGTTACGAGCCTCGAAAGCCCCGACGCGTTTCATCGATATCGTTCGCGTAGGCTTACCTAGGACGGGCATCGAATCGATCTTACGCCGTCAGCGGTATCGCCAAGTTAACCCGGACTGCGAACCACGAAGAGACGCGGGCACACGCGAATGGAATATCAATCGCGGAGATCAAATGCTTTTAAGGAACACCGTCGACTTCTTCTTCGATCGCTGCCGTGTGTGTATTCGACGATCGTCGTCGATCTGTTGCGTCTTGCGGTGCGTCGGGTGAAAATCGATGGTACGCAAGACGTGCACAGTATTCTTTAGCTTTTATCTTAAACGCACATACGATCGATATTACTGTCTTATTATTTCTAGTTGCAAGACATGAAACGAGAGAGATAGTTACCTTTTATATAAAAGTAAAAAAGAATTAGATACATCTGATATATTAAATATATGATAAAGTTGATAAAATAAAAATAAAAATTAAATTACAAAATTATGAGAGATTTCGAGGGGAAAAAATCAATACTAAATATCTTATTTTTATATTAATATTACACTACGTAAGTTTATCTCTTTTATTGTTAACTTTTAAATGATCGAGGAGAATACAATAAATCGTATTTATTTCGGAAGGAGATAATTATATTTTTATGAATTTTACGAATTTCTTTTTTTCACATTACAAGGTATAATTCATGATTTTAATGGAAAAAAAAAAAAGAAAGACTTAATCGTTTAGTACGATTATTTGCAATTGTGTTGCAAAAGTTGTCGTGAAATTATGCGCACTTCTCGGAAATGCGATCGAATCAAAGTCAGGTACGTGAACAGTTCGTGAATTTACGACGATGGGCGCGAGCAAGGGTTCGGCGCACGACCTAATATAAAATATGCAATATCCTCCTTCCGGAAAGCCGTGCGCGCTGGCGAAGTCGGTGGAGCAATGTATACACCGGCGGACGCTCTTTCTGCGATCCGGTATAAGTAAATTGCACCTGTGCGAAAGAAAGATCAGAGGCGTTCGGCACACGAACGTATCTCGTCACGTGACCGCCGCCGGGGGCAAACGTGTCCTCGTACTTGTTTCTCATTATTGTGCGCGACGTGGAGTATAATTTCGCTTTGGGTCAACTGACCGTTGGAAACGCGGATAAACCGACCCAAAGGAATAAATGCTCCTTCACACGGCGGTATCTCTCTCTATTTTATCGTTAATCTTTAAGCAGAATGCATTTTCGCTTTATTTTTTATTTGACGAAAGTACAATTTGACTGGCGAACAATCTTCAAAAGTTGTAACTTATTTTTTTTCTTATCTTGATGATCCACCTTTAGATATCCCGCTACAAATTCCATTTACACACACACACACACACACACACACACACACACACACACACACACACACACACACACACAAAACACACATCTATGGGTTCGATAAATGTTTTATTTTCGTAAACATCAATTATTATAAAATTAGTATGTATTATAACTTTTTTTTATGAGAATAGTCAAGTGTGAATCGATACATATTTTACGATGTTTTGATAAACGATATAACGAGGGACAATTCTTTCTTCAAGCGCCCGCTAAACGGCGTCAATTTAATGAAATCAACTGGGGTGTCGGAACAGAAGGAAAGAAATAACCAGCTAATTAGGTGATGTTTGGTCTTCGAGAGCTGAGACAAACTTAGGCGTGAGCTAGGGCGGATGTCTCGACAACGAAGGCGATGGAGTGGCGGAGTTTCGCGATGAACTCAAGAGAGAATCGGGAAGGTGGAACGGGGGAAGGAGGTGAAGGTGGCCGGCAAGCGACGGAGGGTGGGTTAAGAGGGGCGATGGCGCAAGGATGGAGACCGCCGAGACGGAA